ATGGGGGGGGGGGGGTCCTGGCCCCTTTTTCAAGCAGGGGGTGAGCAGGCCGGAGGCGCGGAGCAGCAGCCCACGGCCCAGCGGGACGCTACGGGCACCGGGGGCAGGGGACAGGCCCGCGGGGCCCGCGCTCCACGTCACGTTTACAGCGCAATCCGTCCCACGCGCGCCATAAAAGTACCGGCGGCCACGCGGAAGCCGCCATCCAGCCCGGCAAAGAGCCCCGCCGCCGCTCCCAAGAGCGCTCCTCACCTGCGGCCTCGCGCCGCTCCACCAACTGCTCCCATCGGTGTACGACCGACTCCGCTACCCGCTCCGCCGCCTCTCCGCCCTTAGCAACCGCCCGCGAGCGCCAATTGGGCGCTGCTCTACGCCACTCGTCCCACCCGCGGCCTGCGATTGGTCGAGAGGCGGGCCCAAGGGGGAGAAAGGGGGATAGGGACGCTCACGCCCTAGAGCGGCCTGGCGATTGGCGGGTTATGACGCAGTGGGGCGGGCACCGGGGGTTCCATTGGCGGTCGCCCGCTGCCTGTCACGGGGGAGGGCGCCTGGCCTTGGCCTTTGTGACTGGAGAGGGCGGGGCGGGGCGGGGCTGCGCCGCCCCTCCCCCACCCGCACCCCCGGCCTGGGCTCCACGTGGGCGGGGCCTGGCAGGGCGGCTCGGGGCACCTGGAGACTTCCCTGCAGGGCCTGGCACCGGCCGCGGGAGGAAGACGGTGCTGAGCCCTGCCCCAACGTCGCTGAGCAGCAGCAGCAGCAGCGTTGATTGGAGCCCACATGGGCTCTGAGGTGACTCTGCTGCTCCCTAATGCACGAAGTGCTTGGGGAGATGCTGGGCTGCAGACCCTGTCAGGTCTGTCCAGCTTCCGCCTCCCAGGCCCAGCCCGGAGGATGCCCCTCTGGCTGCTGGAGACGGAGCAGAGTGATGTAGTGACAGAAAGCAGCGCAGGCAGGAACTGGCTGAGTGTCTCCTCTGCAGCTCCCGGCTTCTGCCTCCTCCCAGCCCCCCATCTCAGCTCAGCTGCGAACACCCCTCTACTCCCCAGCTTGCTCGTGCTCCCGGGTACTTTATAGCGGCATTAAAATCCTACTTTGTGTCCACGCAGGCATTTCCACCGCGGCTCCTTCCAGCACTGATTATGCTTCAAAGAGACTGGTCACGATTATTATTTCCGAGAGAGGTGCAGATAGGGGAAGGTCACGAGGAGACACTAATAGCAACAGTATTGGCTCTCTCAATGCTGCCCTGCAATCAACAGACTGTCCCCCCACTCCATTAGGCTGATTTAGAGAAAGGGAGAACCACAGCTTCAGCTGTCACCTAATCATTTGCATCTGATCATTTGCATCTGAACCACATGCACATATACTGTTTAGACTACTGGGTGTCTGTTTTAAAGATGGATACCTAGTAAGAAGCCAGTGACTTCTTAGCACTCACTTTGCAAATTAATCCTGCCCTTACAGATTTCCCCTTAACAGTTGCTCAAGCAGTAAGAGTAGAAGGAGTGGAAGCAGCAGCCTAGATGCAGCTCTCACAACCACTGGCTTTTTAACCAGCATTGCCAGTGGTACAGATCACGTATCTGTGCTAACGCTCCCAACAAGACTGAGACCAATATTATGCCATGGAGAGCATATTTTTGAAAATCCTTAAGGTAGCCCCATAACATTTGTGTCTCATCTTACCCATCTGTAAAACGGGGATAATACACTTACCTCCCTTTTGGCAACATTATTAGAAGTGGTAGAATTGTTAGCATTTGTAATATGGCTTACAGTATCCGGGTAGACTGCAGACGTGTTAGAACTGTTCAATATTAAATCAGTATCAAGTTGTAATACTTGTCATAAGCAGAATAAAAACTGTTCAAATGGCCTCTACAGGCATGGAAGCTAGCTCTTTCCTGTGCATTTGAGTCATATATGCTCACAAAGGAGTTACACCTGCTTTGCTGCTTGTTCTTGACACACACTAATATTTACTCACTTGAGGTCCTGCTGGTGATTTTTCTTTCTCATGCATCAACAACTGAATTGACCATTGAATTCAGATTTCAGGAACATTATTGCTGGTGATGATAAAAGCCAGAAGCATCCACCTGGTTTTCTAACCCCAAGTGGAACTGGTTGCAACAGCCGTTGGCAAAACCTGCTTTGAATATATAAACAGAGGTCCGAATATCGAGAGGTCTGAGGGAAAACAAATAGGGAGGCCCACAATGTGTTGTTTATGAAGTCATTGCTCTGATTATAACCTACAACTCCAGACAACCGTTAGATTCCTAACAGTATGGTCTGCTCCCAGCTCAGTAAATGTCACAGTCACTGCATAATTAGATGGAAAAATCCACTCTCCAATTTCAGACATTTTTCTTCCTTTGTTTAGGTCTAGTATAAGCTCTCCATGTGCAAAAAAGCTCTCAAGAAGCTAGTCACATTTTCCAGCGGTTGTGTATCCGGAGGAATGACTAAGTCGCAAGGACTGAGTCACTGTAAAGAAAAGTGCTTTTGGCACAGAAAGGGAATTGCTCCAGTGAAAAGGTCAGAATAAAAACAATCCCAACCCCAGCTCGGAGGTTTCCCATGTCAATAGTGAGCTACGCCTTTCTTGCCGACCGCCCGAGCCCACGGTACTTACTCAAATAAATCAGCCACCGATTTAGCTACTGCCTGTACTGTGAAAACAATCAGGATTTATAATGGTGTTAAACTCAGTTATGTTCCAATTAGATTTGGTTTGGTCGGCCTGTGTTGCTAGAGTCAAGTTATATAGATAACCAGGTGAAAAAAATGGGCTTCAAGTATTGGCTGTGTTGGACTTTAATCCGTCTTTGAAAACAGTGTTTGGATTCTAGGCATAAAGGATTGCAGCCAAATTAATTCCAAGCATGGTTTGGCTGGTCCCTGTGGACAGAGGCAAACTGCTTGACAAACACCTTCACAAAACAAGGGAAGTCCTTGAGCAGCCCCAAATCTGTGAAGATCCTGCCAAATGAAGCCCAGATACTATGATGATGCCTTCTCTCACATAAACATGCAACAGCCTGTGTATGCACATTTATGACAGGACAAAATACCCCTCCTGGCAAAACCCCCCACTTCACTGCACCCGCTTCTCCTGCTGCAAAGAGGATGAGAGCAAATGTATGGCAGATGTTAGTCATGTTGTTTAATGCACTGCTGAAGGAAATGAGGTATTACAGAACTGAGGGCCCAGCTAGAACAGAGCAGAGACAGACGGTATAGAAGCCAGGAAAGTGGGAGCCAAATGACAGCCCTGATTGGGTTAGTACAGGCAAATGCAGGGATTAGCTTTAGTTTGCTACAGGCAATGGAGAGTTTTCTGAAAGGGATATTACTGGGAAGGGAGGAACCTGATCATGGAGTTTTCCTCTGGATTTCAAAGGAAAAAGGCACAGTATTACCCTGCAGTGCAGGAAAACAAGGAATGGGAGGGAGACAAAATGTGGTTGAAGGCCAACTGGGTGTTAAAATGGTCCCACAGTTCATGAGGGTTGAGGATCTCTCCCTCCCTGCCCTGGCATGCGCCATGCACCAAGACCAAGCTCTTGTGATTAGCACAGCGCTGCCCCAGCCTGTTCTGAGATGCAGGGCTGGTGGAGCAGCCTGGCCAGGAGCCAAGGGTGAGTCTGCAGCTTGCCACATAGGGCTTATGCTCCGGAAGTGTCATCTGAGGAGCAGTAGCTTATAAACATCTCGTAAAGGTAGAGCGAGTGAGCATGGTGTTTGATTTCCAGGCAGCCTCTGCCCCATGCCAGCAGCAATGTGCTTCTGACTTCCCTGCTGAGGGGGCAGAAGACTGTTCTGGAATTCAGAGCTCAGGAGGTGATGGGTGCCCTCCTCTTTGCTGATCATCAGCTTGGCATTTACCTTGCACAAGAACCCAAAGCATTGGCGACGTGTAGGGGATGCACGCAGGTGCATGTGCACCCCCCTGAGATTGGCAGTGCGCCCCCTGCAAAAAGCACCGCCGATGCTGCCGGCAGTTCGCCGCCAGTGCTGCAGTCGCCTGCGGGAGCTCACCACTCACCACTGCCATGCTCCCGCCGCTGCCACCACCAGCGGGAGCTTGCTGTGCTTCCCCTGCCTCCAGGGGCATGCAGTGTTCATGACCCAAAGTATGCACTGGAAACTGGTTGCATATGGGAAACACTGGGCTTGACCATACTTGCCTTGCACTTTGTGTAGACATTTACCCCCAGGCCAAGGCATGGACACAAAGGCCAGAATTCTGCTCTTGACACCCACATTGCACAGATGTTAATGAATCAAAACCAAGAGAATCTGGCCCAGAGCTAGATAGGGAGACATAACCAGCTAGCCAGAGCTATGCAAGGCTGAGAGGACCAAACTCTTTTATTCTTTGCCACCCTCTCTCCTGAGTGGTGCTGCCATGAGGAATGTTTCTTTTTTTTTTTGAACAAGGGAAAAATCACATTTTTTCAGCCTCCTTCCTATTCAGCAGGCCCACTTCTCAGGGAGAGGTCCCCAGTGAATGCACCTCTCAGGGAAATTTCTTGCTTTTTCACTAATTCTTGGAGTCCCTCACAGCCTCCATGGAAATGTGGAAATGTAAAACTCAGCAAGCGTGGTAGAAGCAGAACAGGAAAAAAAACAACCCATTTCTGATGACAGGGACCAGGTTGCCAACTGGAAGCAAAACCTAGTGCCTGTCAGTGCCATGCGAACCACACCAAAAAGGGCTATGAAAATGGAAAGAAATTCAGAGGAAATGATTTTTCCTCCCTGGAGCATTCTGCCTGCTTTGCAGTGAGAACATGATACTCATACGCAGGTGAGGGACCTGAGTGCAAACCAGCCCAGCTGCTGAGGAATTTGGGGACTCTTTGTTCCCTGTGCATTTTATCTAATGTGCCCAGGAACTTGTTGAACACCTGGAAGATCTATAAGCAGTCCACTTCTGTCCCACAGAGCCACCACTTGGATGTGACACAGAGCAGGAGAGGCAACATACAGATCACTTGACCTGTCCCGTGGTTCCTCTCCTTTTTCCTCCTCTTCCCTGCTCCAGCCTTTTCAGTGCCAGCCCATAATTTCCTTTCACCAGTTGCTCATTGCCTGGCTCCAACCTGCCACCCTCTTCTTGATCCCAGACCTTCCACCCGTTTAATACAGCAGAAGATTCCTTAGCTATGTAGTTATTGCTTAGTTCTGGCTTCTTTACTAGTCCTTCCATCCAGGAAGAGCACAGACCAACTGCAGATGCTTCCTCAGCCTATCAAAGGATGCTTGTGCCCAAAAGTTTGCAAAGATTTTTTTTCCAACTATTTGAGTTGGTCTAATAAAA